TTTAAGGAAGTTTATTTATTTTAAAAAAACTAAGAAAAACACTCAAATATGTAATTAAAGATTTTTTTTAAGTGTGTGTGTTTGCGCTTTCTCCTGCAACAGTGCAGTAGTATCTAAGGGTGATCACGTGAAATAATTGGGTCTTGCATTCATGCAATGCAAGACCTTGTGTACAGCAAAGCTAACACAAGCTGAGGGGCGTTGAGCCTGATGACCTACCCACTGCAGTGACCCAATTTAAATAGATAACACAAATCAATGCATATATGTAGTCCTAATCCTATACTATGATAAGGTATGCTATTCCCAGGCGCTTTGTTACCTGTGACTGATGGAGTGGGATCCTGGTTATGGGGTCCCACTCCGTTATAGGGTGGCCTTGTATCGTCTCGTTCAGCTGTGCACCAACTTGCTCAGGAGTTATTCTTTCTTATAAAATTTGCTGCTGAACTGACCTGGTTAGTGGTGGGTACCGGCCCAACAGGAAACTTCTGCAGGTTCCAGCATGACTGCAGTTAAAAGACTGTTGAGGCCTCAGACCTGAGAGCAGAGCTGTGTTTTTAATTCTCTTGTTGAGAAACAAATAGAGTTTACGCAGTTGTGGGTTGTGGGAAGTCTGGTCAAATATACATTCTCTTTACAGATAAACAGATATCTCTGTGAACTCCATCGAGGTTCCTGCAGCATTCATAATTCTCATGTTGAATTAAAAATTGTAGCTAACACTTTTCATATATCGTATTCCCTCAAAAAGAACCCTGATCATGTCCCAGTTGAAGTGAAAGTAAACAACGCTCTAGATTGTCTGTTAAATTTCAATTTTTAAGCAAGTGAATGTCCTTGTCTTTGTCATAATTAATTGATATCTTTCTCTCACTCAGTTATTACAATAAACATACAGTTAGGTCCATACATTTTTAGACAGTTGCACTTTTTTTTGTAATTTTGTCACAGTACACCAGCACAGTAAATTTCAAATCGAACCGTCAAAATGTGATTGAAGAGCACAGTTTAATCTTTAATTTATGATCTATTTACAAGTACAGCCATTTTTATATAGGTGTGAAAAAGATTGTTTTGAACAACAAAGATTAAAATGAACTGGTATCAGAATGATGACAAGATAAAAGTATGGTGAAAGAAAGGAACAGTTCATGATCTGTCTGTGAAATATGTTATATGTAGGCATGTGTGGCTACCGGTGGAACTGGGCCACTAGTATTTATTGATGTGACTGAGGTGCACAGGGTTATACTCTCTGCTCAGATCAACCAAATGCTGCAAAAGTAGTCAAAATGTGCTTCACAGTACAAATGAATAACGACCCAAAACACTCTGCAAAAGCAAACCAAGAGTTTTACAACATAAAGAAATTGGGCAATTTTGAATGGGCAAGTTAGTCACGTGATCTTGAACCTAATGACGCATGCTCCTCAGTTACTATAAAGATGCTATAAGTTGCCTTAATTTCTAATATGAAGGCAGAGAGACCCATAAACAAGCTGCAACTAAGAGGAAACAACTGGTGATATGCACAATTTCCAGGGGCACAGACACAAACAGTGGCAAAATTACAAAATTGTATTATTGTCCAAAACATTATGAACCTGAATGTAACCCTCCTCTGTCACACCAGCTCTCTGCATGTCCTCCTTCATTACGTATATCCACGAATCTTCCTTTTTTACTCCTGCCTGGCAGCTCTATTTTCAACCCACTTCGCTGTCCCTCCTCTGTACATGTCCAAACCGTGTCAAACCTGAGCTGTCCCTCTGATGAATTCATTAATAATCCCATCCATCCTGGTCACTCCCACTGTAGGTCTCAGCATCTTCAGCTCTGCCACCTCCATCTTCAAATCGTCTCCAAACCGTACATCACAGCAAGTCTCACTACCATCTTGTAAACCTTGCTTTTCAATCCTGCTGCTATCCTTCTGTCACAAATCCCGCCTGGACACACGTCTCCACCCACTCCACCCCGTTTCCCATGACGATGTAATTGAAAGCTATTTGAGTCAGTTTAGATTTATCTGTGTGCTTTTGCAATTTTCATTTGGTGCGTTTCATTTCCATATTTAGAAGTCGAGCCTTTCATTTAACAAAAACAAAGTAAATAATTAAGCATGATTAAAGGATTAAGCATCCAAGTAATTCGATTTTTGCCCGATCATTTTTTCCTGTGTTCTTCATGTCAGTGAACTGATACTGCTCCCTGAGGGTCTGGCAATCTGGAAATGAGGAGCGGAAATTTGATTAATGGATTTAATCCAAATCTGTCTGAAGCAGCAGAGCTGGCCCTGATGTTTGTGTCCAAGGCAATTTCTAAAAATGGATTGTGTAACAGGATGATGCAGTTCAACAGATAATTGAACATTTCAGCTTTTAGTCTGCCCTGTTGTCTGTCGTGTTTATGCTGCACCTGGACAGACAGTGAGCGAGTAGAAATCTTATTGAAGCTGTGCTGCCTGCTCCTAATCACATTTCCTGCTTTCTGTCCTGCTGACTTTATCAGGTCAAAGGAGGAGAAGACACAGCCCGTGCACCAGATATCGCTGCCTTTCCCCGAGACATTTTTTGTTTCCTTTTCTTTTAAAACAGTCATGTAGTAGAACACTAACTCATTTCCTTCATGAAATTTGATATATTACTTAAATTCGTCAGACCCAGTTACAGACTCTGTGTTATTGAGCATGATTTTCTCTAAATGCTAAAATAGGTTGCTAATTTATTTCAGATTGCCTCGGGTATGTGGTTTAGAGATCTGATTAAATTGTTGTCAAACTAATGCAGCCTATTTTTACCACATGGGACTTAATCTAAATTAAATGACCTCATTGCTGAGTGGACCGCTTGTTGAGTTTGTATCACTAATGAATAATCTTTAAACAAACTTTTAACTTGTCACCTTTAGTCTGATGCTTTTGGCCAGTTTCCTGACTTAATCATATTGCCTACTGAATCAGGGTTGCCTAGTATTGCCCCCTATGTACTGCCACCAGTACTACAATACAATGGGCGAGTGGACTACTCTCTCATTTACATAAAAGGGTTTCAGGTCAAGTGAGTCAGTGCTATCACTACGCAGATAGTATTTGACTAGTTCAATTTCAAAATGCTGAACTGGACACTTGAAATCCTGTCAAAGTAGAGTGGATTCACATTAGAATGAATTTGGTGGTGAAATATAAGGATCAAAAATCAAACATGTAGTCAGATTTATTGAATTGCAACACACACACACACACACAGGAAAAAACTATAAAGTTGTCTGTTGTAGGGGTCTTGATGCATGCGCAATCATCCAGGTAAGGAAATCCCAAAAAGTTGATTCTGTTCATCTAGACGTAGCATTTTTAATGTAGAGGCCTT